ATCCGCCAATAAGCGCAGGACCCACCAAGATAGAGGAGGAACTTTGTCACAGTGGCTAATGCATCTGACAGCGCCCCAGTCTCATGCGGACAGGCTCAGCAACGGGCACCCTAAAACAACAGCACCCTGGAGGTGTTTATTTAGGATCCGGATTTATTCGATGAATTTGCTACTACACAGAGAGATTCCAGGCAGCCGTGAGGTACCGGGACAGACACACACCCTTCATTTTGGAGACTCTTGGTTATGCACCGGTCCCTCTGCATTGCCCCGGCAGCACCAAGGATCTCCGGGGGATGGGCAACTGGGAATTCAGGCCTTTATTCTGCCGCCCATCGAGCCAGCATTTGCATTCATTTCATTCAGCAGTAGCACAAGGAACCCCCAGGCCTGTCTCCTGTAAGACGCGGGCTGCAGCGGTTAGAATAAGCCGTGAACTTTGGCACAGATAAATGGCCCAACGCTTGTGTCAGGGCTGAATCCCCAACCTGGCACTCTGAGTGCAGAAGGTGGGGCCCGCAAGGACTCTAAAAATCAATACTGGCCACTCCAGGCTGGTACTAAACTCCCCAGATTACAGCTTTTCTCTGACCTCGGCTTGGTAAACGCTGCCACCCCCCAAATGCAAAAAAAACAGGACCCAGGAAGGAGCACTTGGGAATTCCTCCCTGTGGGGCACCCTCAACCCTTTCACCCCCCTCCGGGGAAGAGTTGAAAAAGAAAACACAGGAAATTAGCGATTGCCACCAGCTAATCAAACAGCATGTGCACAAAACTGTTACAACACCAAATATCCAGTCCTGGTCTTTAAAAAGGTAAATTTTATTCAAAACAAAAAGGAAGAAAATACATCTGGAACTTAGGGTTTTGCTACTCTTTAAAAGAGCGATTCCAAAAATCAAGGACCCAAAATAGCTTCTTGGGGGTTCAGCTTAAAGGTGACAAGCAAACAAAAGCATCTGGGGTTAGCACAGAGGAGTCCACAAGCCAAAATAAAGAAATAACCTGATTGCGTCTACCTGGACATTCCCTGTCCCAATGAGTCCTGCTAGGAATGGAAAATAATTTTTCATACCTGGTTCAACCCTTACACAGTATTGCTGCTGATAGCATGGCTGCCTGTCCCTGCAGCCCAGAGAGACCAACAGACAAAGGGAAAGTTTCTTTCCCCATTTTAAAAAGTTCGACCTTCCCATTGGCTCTTCTGGTCAGGTGCCCACTTTCTTTTCTTTACTTGGGGGACTTTTTAACCCTTTATAGGTAAAGTAAGTAAAGACCAGCTACCAAGAGGGATTTTACAGCTAACTGGCTGGCTGGGTGTCCATCAAAGGGAGCTACACCTCCCCCCCGCCCCCGACTTTATTTATCACAGCTCGCCCCCTAAGTTTTGGGGGACTGGGAACAGAGTGTTGAAAGGGGCGGTTTGTCCATAGCGACACCAGCCAGCCACCGGGACGTGAGCTAACACCGGCTTTGGGATACTGTAGGATGGGAACTTCTGCAGCTGTCTGACCACAAGCCGGCCACGGCAAGGAATTGACGTATCTGATAATAAGTTGAGATCAGTAATGTTGCCGGCACAGAGGCCCGAGGACAGCAACAGCGGGGTTCGTTGCCCGGTGTGCTTCGCGTCAATAAACACACCAGGGGTGGAGAAGCAAACAAAGTTTATTTGGGATCCCAAAGCGGTGCAAGGAGACAGGCATGTCTCAGATCAAGCACACCAACAAAAACAGTTTTTCTTCTTTTATACATTTTGCAGTTAAGCCTCACCCCCCTCTCCCCTCCCTTCCTCTCCCTCTACCCCTCCCTTCCCTGGTAACAGTTACTAAGCAAATAACAATTACATTTAAGCAGTTAAGTCATTCTTGGCAGCTGTAAGCCTAGCTTGTTAGTAACTTCTTTAAACCGTTATCTTGTCCTTTTTCCCTTCAGCCAGAAACATGCAGGCCTCATTATTACCGCTTGATACCGGTGTGAGCAGGGGGTTGCACACAGATAACTGGTTGCTTACATATTCCAATTGCACCTGGCTTTTGAGGTTGATTAGAGTTTAAACATGGAAGAAGTTTGGTTCATATAGGCCTAGTGCAGGAAGGCTTCATTGACACTTGGTGGCCTTCCACCCTCCCGAGTTACCTAGGGTGGTGCCTAGTAACACCAACAGTAACATCCTAACCTACCGGAGAAGGGACCCCGACATCGGTAGGGTGAGGAGATATAGATAAGGGGGAGGGGAGAAGCCCCTACTGAATAGGCATTAGGCACAGTGGCGCCAGCGTAACATATTATAAAAGTTGCACCACAGCCTGTGGGCAGGAGGCGAGCGAGATGTAGCGTTTGAGGGGTGCCCGGATCATGGCCATTGGTAATGATGAGGAAGGTGATGGTGAGGAGGAAGACAATGACTAACATTTCCGGTTGTTCTGCAAGGGGCAGTGCGAGTATGGGGCGGTTCAGATGGACATTCTGTATTACCGCTGTCCATTGTGCTGGGCTGGAGCGTTTGGGACTCTGCTAAATGTGTTGATCAACGATTACAAACACAGAAGGTTCCTCCAGTGCGAGGGCTGCGACAGGCCCCATCGGGGTCCCCAACTGAACAGCAATTTTAATAACACTGGGACGGATCTAGGGCCCAGAACCTGTCAGACCTCCCAGTGATCACTGGGACTTCATAAGCAATCAATAGAATTTAATGTACGATTCATAGCTCAGGCTGCAATGGGCAGGAATCAGGTGCTGCGTGGGCCGTGCAGGGCGGGGGCTCAGGAGAGCAGTTTCACCAGCAGCAGCCCAGTCAGGCCAGGCAGGTAGAGGGCAAAGGAGAATTTCCCCAGAGCCGGGCTGGCCCCACTGGTGGGTGTTTTCTCCGCAGGTTTGGAGATCACCTTTGTGAACGTGAACATGGAGAGGGCAGAAAACAGTGTGATTCCAACTTTAATCTCTTTTGTGGACGCAGTAGCACAGCCTTTTGCGGCAAATGGTGATCTCTCTGAACCTGATGGAGAAAATCAGCCTGTTATTCAGCGGGGGCAGCTCTGGTTCCTTCTCTGCCCCCAGAACCTCTGTCTCCACCATCCAGCGGTTCCCACCTCTGCCTCCCGTTCCCACCTGCCCGGTGCTCTCCCTGCTCTCGCTGTAACCAGCCAGGGCAGGGCGGGCGTCTGGTCCCCTCTTGCCTCCCCCGCGCCCCTTTCTGCAGCTCCACAAGACACTGAAGCTGGAGTTTGGAACCAGCTGATCCCCGGGGGCGGCTCCTTCCCCAGCGCACGGCCCCCCCGGGAAACATTCCCAGGCCAGGGTTGACAGAGACTTCCTAAAAGTGGGGGGCCATGAGGCCCTGCCTCCTCTGTGGTCCTGCCCCTACCCCTCCTCTTCCCCTCGAGGCTCTGCCCCCCAACCAAGCTGGAAGCCCTTGTAGGGCTGGGGACCCTGGGCCTCTCCACCTGCCCAGGGTGGGGGGACTGAGAGCAGCCCCCGGCCCGAGTCCCTGCCCTCTGGGTCCCCTGCCCAGGGCAGATAGAGGGTGCACAGCACCCCACAGCTGCTCAGGCTCCTTGGACCGGGCTCCAGTTTCCAGCCTGGCTGGGGCGCAGGATCTCGGGGAGAAGAGGAAGGGAAGGGGGCCAGGCCCAGGGTGAAAAGTGAATGGCCCAGGTGCAGCTTTCACCATCCCCGGCAGCCCCGACCAGGTTCAGTTTAGTTATTTTATAAACACCCCAAAGCGCTGGGAGTCCTGGACACACACTGAGAACAGGAGCTTCCGCACTGAGCAATAGCTTAGCTCCCC